AAGCCATCCTTGGATACCCAAATATATTCCACAGGGAAAAATGCATCACCTGGCAATAAAATCCATATGCAAAGGCACAAGCCTTCATCTTCCAGGGACACGCCTTCACTATATCTCCCACGCATTATCAAGCGGGAAATTGTATTGCCATCTAAAAATGTTGAAGTCCCACCAAAACAAGATTCCTCAATTGATGATAAGGTCCCAGAGAGTGAGAAGAAGACAGAGAATGTGTTCAACAAGCATTCTCTATCAGTGAAGTTGAAAGCGGTAATGGTAAGAGTAACATCTTCCTCTAATATTTCACATGGCATTCATGGAAAAGGGAGAAGAAACAATGATGTTAAAACTGGAATGAACTTGGCTTCCATATCATCTGCAAAGAAAGCTTTGGTTCCTCTGCCTGCTTCTGTGTCCCCCAAAATTTCCCTCCATAGAACCCCATCCTTGAAATCAAGAAAAATCATAAGCTTAAAAGTTCCGTCTCCTTTAAAGGATCGAAATAGAATACACAAGGCTCAGATTAAAAGCTTCAGAAATGAGAAGATTCCCGAGAAAACCTTAAATGTTATCAGGACAGATGGTCCTGTCTTTCAATCACGTCCATCTTCATCATCACTTGCATCTTCGTCGGTTGCAAAGTCGCCATCTTTATTGTGTCATAAAGAGGAAGAGGCTGAATATGATGAAGGTGAAATAGATGAATTGATCTCTGACAGCAATGACACTGCAGAAGTTGGCGAAGTGAAATTAGTGAAAGAGAAAAGTATTAAGGCTCTGAGGAAGAGTACGGCAGTTGGTTCTGAAGATAGAGACAGCACTCCTATGAAATTAAATTTCAGGAGGGGGAAGGTAGTGGACCTTAAATCTGATAATAATAATCCTAGGAGACTCAGATTTAGAAGGGGAAGAGTCTTAGCAGATGACCAAGATGGCAAGGGTGATTTTAGAAGGAAAACGTTTAAAAATGGCATGGTCAATGATGACAAAAATGATGAAGATCCTTCTTCCGACAAGGTCGCTTTAAAGCATCGAGATGTGCAGGGGAAGAAATATTTACGTTTGTTTAATAATGTCATTGAAGAAACAGCAAACAAGCTTGTCCAAAGCAGAAAAAGTAAGGTCAAAGCCTTAGTGGGTGCATTTGAAACTGTGATCTCTCTCCAAGTGAGTAAACTTCCTTTGCAAGATGCTGCATAAGTGTCAAACGGACTTCACCTCATGTTCTTGACATTGTAAATAAATGTAGGAGAATAAGAAAAGCTTGTGATACAAGGAGTGAAATTCTCAAGCATAAAATAATTCTAATACACGTGTACATGTCACAAGTGGAGGTAAGAATTAGAAAGTTTGGGCAACCTGATAGTATTGCATGCTCATCTGTGGCTGGTTCTGATGTAGTCCTCAGCAAAAATAGGAGATGAATCAGAAAACTACGAGTTATTGACAATTGAAGTGTTTCTTTCTTTAAGTTGCAATGTTCCTTGTGCAATTTTTGGCGTTGTCTTCAGACTGATCTAATAATAAGTTATGAAGTTACCTTAAGACTTTTATGACGGATGAACCTCCAGTCGTTACCCTTCGAGTGCGCACTGGGTAAATTCTTGTGCTGACGCAATAGCCTGCAAACCAAATTAAGACAATTTATTTGACCTTTTGGTGGCTTAAATTGTCTTCAAGAGGGCATAATTTGCATTTGACTGATCTTTCTGATGTATATGGATATTTCATTAATAAATTGACATCAGTGACTTGCTTTTCAGTCTTTGCTTGGTTCACTCCTTGCTCAAGGATATCAATCTGGGTACGTGCACTTGTTAAAACTACAATATGCATTTCAAGTCAATGCAAAACCATTTGAATCTTGATATCCGTATCCATTTATATGATAACTACAATTTTATGAGTATTTAAGATACCGCAGCATAGTTAGCGCATGGTGTTGAGGTGGTCGTATCAAGTAAAAGATAAAAATGTTATAGATTTGTTCGTGCACAATTTATCCGTTCATAAAAACAACTTTATCCATTGAGATTCTTAAAATTTTTAACGAATACCAGCAAATTGTGCCCACGATGTGAAGGAAAAGGTGAAAGAGTAAAGCAACAAAGTCGAACATATTTTGTTGTGCTGAAGTGTAAATCTTGTTGACTTGTAAAAAAATAGTTTACATTTTTCTATAAATGGATCATCCATATTAAAGGTTTTTTCCAAACTCATTCTCAACCATACATTTCATGAGGTTCATTAATTTTATCAACTTTTCAACCACATATTTATGTTTATCAAAATTACTAAAAACGTCGACTTTTATCAAAACAAGCTGACAAAACGGTATCCTCTTTAATAAGCTGATGGGCATAGGACTGGGCTGATTTGGGCCGGAACAGCTTGATGTTGAAGGGGAAATATTCAATGGCCCAAGCATTTGATGGACTTTGGTGCTAAGTCCAGATTGGGAAGATTGGACCCAAAAGGCTGTCCACTAAGGGTGGCAGGGTTATTTTGGTGAATTTTCTAAACAGGACTCAAATTTGGTTTGTTTCAAGATTATTTATCCAGTCTAATCTTTATTCATTTTCTCTGATGAAGCTCTCCTTCCTTCCATGGATTCAGGCATTCAGCTTTAAGTTGGACTTATGTAATATTCGCGCACTTTTCAGGTAAAAAATTTTGCTCGGTTCTATTATCCGTCTAAATAGCTGAAATTATTTAATTATAACGGTACAACTGTTCTTTCAAATTTAGGGCATGTCCTCGTATTCTAATCTTCATTAAGTTAATACGAGTATCATTTTTCTACATTTCGGGTCAATATGGTAGTGATAGAGGTGCTCAGATGTCAATTTGCAAGTACTATTTCATTAGATGGATATAACCACCGGCATGAATTCCATGGTATTTCAAAAAGGAATGATTTTAGAACCCGTTTAAGATGTATGAATTGTTTGGGGTATCTTAATGGGGAATCAAAAGCAAAGAAAAGTTGCACTAGAATTCACGGCCTTATTGTGATGGCCCTCGCTGAGGAGGTTGGCATTTTGTCTAGAACTGCAAACCGAAAAATATCAAGAATGGGGTGGTTTTATGAACCAATGGAAATGGATAATTCAGGCACCACGCCTAATAAGGTTGCTAGGGTTGAGTTTGAGTCAGTTTGTGAAGAAAAAAGGATGCCTGTTCTCAAAGAAAATGGGAATGTTAATGAAAATTGTACACAGCAAAAATCGCCGCCTTGGAGTAGTTTAGCTAATCAGAATTTGGATGTTCAGAATGATGGTGACAGTCCTTCGAGAGTTTCGAAATGGGCAATGGACCTGATTGAGGATGGATTATATTACTTGGAGGAAAGAGATGAAGAGATATTATCAAAAAGGGTTTTGAACCTCAGTAGATTAAATAAAGTCAGAAGCGTGTTAGAATTGTACAGGTCAATGGTGTTTTCTGGTTTGCATCCAGATTTACATGCCTCTAATTCACTTCTCTCCTGTCTCTTGAGGAATGGAAGACTCAATGATGCCTTGAAAATTTTCGAGTTTATGAAGGTGAATGAAATGCTTACAGGCCACACTTATAGCTTGGTTCTGAAAGCAGTTGCCAATTCTTGGGGCTGTGATGCGGCATTAAACATGTTTGAGGAAGCGGAAAGAGACAGCAGTAGCAAGAAATATTTCGATGTAGTTGTTTATAACACGATGATATCAATGTTTGGAAAAGTTAATAATTGGGTTCAGGCCGAGATAATGTGGAGAAGTTTGCTAGATAACGGTCTTGTAGGGACGGTAGTCACATATCGCCTCCTAGTTTGCACATTCGTCCGCTGTGGGCAACACGAACTAGCACTTGATGCATACCAAGAAATGATTAGGAATCAGCTAAGTCCAAGCGATGATGTGATGCAAGCTGTTATTGGAGCGTGTGCTAATGAGGGGAAGTGGGACTTGGCACTAAATGTCTTTGAGAGTATGTTAAACTGTGGGATGAAACCAAACCTAATAGCACATAATTCTTTAATAAACTCACTTGGGAAAGCCGGCAAGGTTGAACTTGCATTTAAGGTCTTTGATACCCTGAAATCGTTGGGACATGCACCTGATGCATACACATGGAACGCACTTCTTTGTGCATTGTACAGGGCAAATCGACATGCTGATGTTCTTCGGCTTTTTGACAGCATTAGGCGAGAGCACAACTCTGTTCTGAATCTACATATATATAACACTGCTTTGATGTCTTGCCAGAGGCTTGCATTGTGGGATAGAGCACTGCAGCTACTGTGGCAGATGGAAGCTTTTGGATTCTCTATTTCAACTGCATCATATAACCTTGTCATCGGAGCTTGTGAGGCTGCAAGAAAGCCAAAAATTGCATTGCAAGTTTATGAGCACATGGTTCAGCAGAAACACTCTCCAGACACATTCACTTTATTGTCACTAATGAGAGGCTGCATTTGGGGTTCTCTTTGGAATAAAGTAGAGAAAATCCTAAACGTAAGTGTTTGCATGTCTTGGAACACATTTTGTGTTTATTCTCCTTTCAATATTTCCTTGCAATATTTTGAATCCAGAGATTTTTGTCAATTTGAAGACCCTGACAAGAATGTGTTTTAATAGAAAGGTGATTACTGGTTTATACAATATTTTACTGGATCCTAGAAATTATTTCCATCTCCTTTGAAGTAGA